TGTACTTATGCCTCATTTGTATAAGACTCTGGCTGAAATAAATGAACTTTTATGCTTCAAGTTTAAGATTAGAATTTTGTTATATAAATCCTAAAGACTCTTAAAATTTTAGTTATATCATTCTAAAACTTGAGAATTAGTTGGACCATAGTTTGGTGTAATTAAAACACATAGGAAAAATTGGTGCAAGCAATTGTAATGGATCACATATCCCACCCCAAAATGTGCCACATTAGCACAGGGTTATTCTCAGCTGAAGATAATTGAGAAACTAAAGACTTAAAAACAAAATAAACAACAAGAAAAACACTCTGCTCAGTTATATATCCCTACCAAATTTATCTTAAGTCAGGTTTGGACTGTTAATTTTCTTCTGTATATTTTTCATCCCTCTGCCACCTAGAAAAATAAAATTCCTTTACTTTTTACTTCTCTGCAAATTTATCATATTTTATTAAATTTTTATTTAAACTTCAAATTCTACTAGCCTCTTTGAATTACTGGCCAGTAAATTTCTCCCACACGTTTTGGGCTGATTATCTTTCCTCCTTTGAATTGCAGCACCCCTGGCTAGAGAACTTAGACCATACAGACAACATTTTTTTTTTTTTGTCTTTTTTGCCTCCTTATGTGGTCATGGTTGTCTTTGATATGGTAATTTAATCTTGGAAATATATCGTAACTTATCGAATAAATGAAGAGACTAGATTTGATCTCTGATTTCTTAACACTTTCACCAGAATTTCTAAAAATTTTAACTAGTAGATGTCTGCTATTTTGCAAGTGGTGGAATAAATGCGAGAGGCAGGTGTCATGCCACTGAGCTGAGGGTCCCAAGGGGGAGGGGGGGGACAGGAAAGAAGGGAAAGAAATAAATATGAGAAAATAAAAAATGGAAACAAAGTCTTTGTAAATAGGAGGGGTGGAAGGGTTGAAGGGAGGGCAGAAGAATGGGGAAAAAATAAGAACCAAGACAGATTATCTGAAGGTACAAATTCCCCATAATAAATGTCAGTGTATTGTATAACTAAAATGCACCGATAAAATTAACAAATAAAAAAAAACTACATAAATGTGAGATAATAAACAAAGCATTTAAAAAGGAGAAAATAAAACATGCATTTTGTGAACAAAACTTTCTGGTGTAAGTCCTTGCACACAACTTTTTTTTTGGCAAATTTTAATTAGGTTATAGTTTAGGGAATAGTCCAGGTTGTACAACACATAGAGTTGGGTTAAGGGTCGAGTTGTTCATCCAATGACAACTATGGTAGTGTACTGAGTGCAAGAATCGAGCTATGATTCCACAACCTGTATGTCAAAATTTAAATTGACATAGTGACAAATATGAAAGACACAAGATACTAGCAGAACAGTAACAGGTGATTACAAAATTTGGACCAGTAGCCCCAGTGTTTTAATTGAGATGTGGCAAATTAAAAACAATAAAGCTTTTGAAGCCGACTGGTTCTCAAATTGAGTTGCATCGGTATCAACAGAAGAGATTGTGAGAATACAGCCCATTGATCCTCTCCATCAGAATTCCTAAGGCTGAGGTATAGATCATGATGTTTCATCCCCTTCATAAAGATCTTGTGAAATCTAGATTGGTACAGTGTAATCTTTTTGACTATGAAGAAAATCAAGCTTAGAATATTTAACATGCTCAATAGATCCAAAGACTTGTTTTAGTTAAAAAAACAAAAAACAAAAAAAAAACCACGTGCCCAATACACTCCTTTCTGTACTATAGTGGCAAATGTTATTTGGAAACTTTGCACCTTTGCTCTGATTCCATAACAGTGAAGAACTATTTGACTACACAATGAGACTGACGGAGCAGAGCTACTTTACATAGAATTTCTGTGTTTTACTTGGACAATCCATTTGAATCGTGTATTATGAAAGAGTATAATGACATTCTTGATCACAAAACACGTACTTGAATCAATACAAATACTATATTATACTTCTAAGCTATAAAAGGTTATATGGACTACTAATACCTGTGACTATGAATAAATACCAGAAGACATTATTCCAAGCAAAAAGAACCACAACATTTTTCCATGTTCATGTAATTCTAACATTTTGTACCATGAGAAAATGAGACTGGTGATCAGCTAAGCTGGTTATGGTGAATGATTCAAACTCTCTGAGATGTTTCTCTCTGATGAAAATGCTTCTAGCTAAATAAACATGGGAATTACTATAGCCACTTGTCATTTAAAACATTTGTATTTCAGTTTATGCAAATTTTTTTTCTGAAAAAATAGTGAATGTATGAGAAAATGTATAGACAAAACAAAAATGGACGACTATAGATAGTTGGTAAAGCTAGGTAGAACTTTCGGGATGGTTATTTTACAATTCCATTTGCTTTATTTATATAAAAACATTAATATTAAAAATATTCCCTGAAAGTTTTGATTGTTTGAACACACTGCTTTAGAACTTAGTAATCTTAAATTAGGTAGTAAAATAGAGTTCCTATAATTGAAAAAAAAAAGAAATAGTTTCAAATTAGTTCTTCTAATTGTTAGTATTGTATAGTATTGAGTTAGATATTTGATTTATTCTAGACAAAATACTATCAGCTTTAATTATAAATCAAAACTTACATTCTCCTGTATCTACCACCTAAGAAAAAATATTTGTGAAAAAAATTATTATTTTGTAAAAAAATCTATGAAACCATAAAACAGAGATATTAAGATATTTCAGAAGGAAAGGAGTAAATGAATCAGAAAGCAAGGGTACCGATCACTGCATTTAGTCATAACTTCTAAGTAACCCAGGCAAAGAGAGAAACACATAGTTTGCAAAATTTCCATTTCCATTTCTGAGGTTCATATATAAAAAGGAGACACCCTGTATTCACCAGCTGTGCAAATGAATTTCTCATGTGAAATCTATTTAAGTGAGCCTAATTAATACAGTACATTATTTCATTTATTGCACTGATGATCTGTCACTGGAACTAGAGGTCTGATTTATAATTTTTCCCAAAATGTTATAAAGCACCTTTTTTTCAAAATGTAAGCAGAAAGTATGACTACTCATCTTGTACAAATGTGTTTTAAAAAGTATTCTAAAGAAATAATGAACATAGAAGAATCTTCATTTGGCAAATACCACGTCAATTTTAACAGACAAAATTCACTCAATCATGGTTTCTCAAATTTGTAGAAAATGTTTGAGAAGAAAGGGGATACTTCCATTATCATAGCATCTTTCTGCAAGAAACTCATTTCTTTCAAAGGAAAATTAATAGCAGGAAAAATTGATAAACAGTGCCGTAACCTTGGGATTGAAGTCATTATCATAAGAAATGAGACAGTCACAACGTATACCTATTGATACACATCAAGAAGGCCCAAGGTCTCTTCTGTATCCCGCAAATGTATGATCCCAATCTAATCATCAGACCTTGGAGAAACTCAATTGAAGGACAATCTACAAAATAATGGGAAGATGTTCTTCAAAAGTTATAGGTTATAGAAGGCTGGGGAGATAGTCCAGCTTGGAGAGGAAACAACTACATGCAGGATGGATCCCAGATCAGATGGTGCACCAGTTTAAAAAAAAAAGATTATTGGGAGAAATGAAGAAAATTGAATAGAGTTGGTAATTACTTAGTCATATTGAATGATGTACTTTTTATGGACTTGACAATTGATGTGGTTGTCTGAGATATTAACATGGGTGCTGGGGAAAAGGTATACAGATCCTATATATTACTGCTCTTGTTTAAATTTAAGTTATCTCAAAAAAAAACAAAAGTAAAGTTCTGACCAACACTTTTTCTAGCTAAGTTTCGGTTCTGCATTTATGAAATGAAAGTGTTAATGATAAATTTTACCATCTTTTGAATTTAAACAAATTAAGCAGAGTACTTGTAAATAATCTGCTTTTGATTCAGCTCCTTCATGTGCCCAAAGAGTTCCCAAACGTAGCCTCTGAAGATGAAGGGTTACAACCAAGAGCAGTGAAAGCATCTGCAAATGAGAGAGCTGGACCAGCAGTTTCAGTGACACCTACAAATTGTAGATGGGCAACTACTGATTCTCACTTCAAAATGGTGATGCCAAGACATGGGGCCGTACAAAGCACTGATCCGTGAGGTCGTAGAAGAAAAGTTCTTCATCAATTATTTAAAGGGCACTTGTGTAGTAAAAGACAAGGCTGCAATCCATGGACTCAAAGAAATAAATAAATTACATTTCTTGGATACACATACTTTTCTCTTGGAGAATGTTACTCAACTTACTGGTAGAGTTAACATACAGAAAGAAAGGAAAAGAAAAGTGGATTTGAGTGAGATTACTAGTAAAGTGTTTCATAATACTTTGGAGAAAAGAAAACTATTGGAATGATATATGGATAATTACACATTTTTCTCAGTTTAATTAAGGACTAGAGTGTGATGGTTAACAGGTTAATATTATCCTGGCAGAATGCTCAAAAGTCTTTTTCATCAGGTGAATACATATAAAACAATTCTGGGGCAATGGCACATTGAACACCAATTCAAAGATAAAACAAGTATTTGCTGAAAATGTAACTGTCTCTCTGCCCCAGGACCCCCATTCTCATACAGCTCACTAATAAGAAGAAGGAAGTTTGATGCAAAGGTAGAAACCTGTATGCTGCCTTGACTGAGGTCCTTTCCTTAGGGAACCGGAAAATTCAGGACTCCCTTTTTCTCTAGCACGTGCTTCCAATAATTTGCCAACCTAATCATATGTGCTCCTGGACTTAGACGGCATGTGTAGTCTAGACTCAGGACTTAGTTATTACAGCTGTTCCAAAACACCTGCATATAGGTCGTGCTCCTTGGTATTTGTAGATGCATCCAGAGGATATGGAGTACCCTCCCTTCGTGGTGTTTGTCTTATCAGTCAATCACGAATAACTGTCTCTTAATTTAGGTAGTATATGCTTACAGACTGCTTCTTTATAATGCTCATAAGTATATTCAAGATGAACGACAAACTTACCAACACTTGGGTAACCAGGCGTAGAAGGGTCTCCACCTGGATTCAATGTCACCATGAAGGTATCATAGTTAGAGTTCACAGTCTTTGGTAAATCACAAGGATCAATATATAGAAGAACGCCTCCAAATCCAGCCTCTTCCAATAAAGATATCTAAAGAAAAGAATATTCATTAAAATATTACCACTTACATTACAAATACCTACATTATCATTTCATAAATGTAGTTTACAAAGGATGACCATATTTTCTTCTTCTTTTTTGTTTTGTTTTGTATTTTTGAAACAGAGTCTCACTATGTGCTTCAGACTGGCCTTGAATTAATTCACAATGATCCCTTTTTTTTCTCTCTCACTGAGTTTATTGGTACATTTTAGGTATAGAGTACAGTTACTTTCATCATTGGGATCTTGCACCATTACATGACAGGTCTTGGTTCTCATTTTTTCCACTTGCCCCTTCCCTCCCTTCACCCCTCCTCCCCTCCCCATTTAAAAACACTTTATTTGCAGTTTTTCATTTTCTCCTATTTTTTTTCTTTCCTTTATTACCTTTCCTCTACCCTTCCCGCTTTGCCTACACCTTTTAAAAGAATCATATCACAGTGATATGTGCACACCCATGTTTATAGCAGCACAGTTTGTAAGAGCTAAAACTTCGAAACAGCCCATTTGCCCACCAGTTGGATACTGGTTAAAGAAGATGTGGTTTTTCTATAAAATGGAATACTACACAATGATCCTTTTGCCTCACCTACTTGAGTGCTGGGATTATCAGGTGTGCTACTAAGTCCAGCTTCTTTTTCTTTTACAATAAGCAGACATTCAGGTTGTCCAATTAACGAGCCTAATCAGCGAATGTTTTATTTACCTCTCCTTTTCTCCTTCTATCTCTACAATATTTAAGCTGTATTCCTATATTGTTTATAATTGATTTCAGTTAGCTGCTCATGGAATTTTTACTAATTGTCTAAGGTAGAGATTTAGAATCTCTACCTTTATAAGATTAACAGAGGCTTCACTGTACACGAAGTTTTACTGTTTAGAAAGAGCTCTGCTGTGACCACTCGGATCTACTTCCCAAGAGCAGGCATCACCACAGTACTGTGATATATTTCCTCCAGGGAAAAGTCTGTCATGCCACTTGTTAAAATGTTAAAATACTTTCACACTGTTTGGCAACTAGCCACTGTTCTAAGCCTTCCAAAGGCCCCCACAGTATTAATCATCCTGGCCTCTGCCCTCCATGTCCAGTCAGATAAGGCAATGGAGGGATTTACACCAAACCCAGGGAGGACCTCCTCAATGATCAGCCCCTGCTTTGTCCCTGTCGTTAAACATTTTGAAAATAGCCTTCCTTGAATACCTCTTCCAAGATACATTCAATGCAAAGACTTCACTCTGTTCTTTCGTAAGTACACAATATATAAGTATAATGGGACACATGAACTTGACACCATTGCAATTATCTTTATTTTCTATTCTTAAATTGATTTTTTTTTGGTTATGCATTTTAGTGTGACTTACCTGATAGGAGAAACAATAATCATGATTTGCTGATTCTATTTGTTTCCCATGAGAGAGGAAAAGTAATTAGGGGACATTAAAGGGATCAAAGAGTAACGCTGAGCACAGGCAATTCTTGCTCACCCTGAAACTTGAGCCAACACCAATGCATCACCTCCCTTTACTGTGTATGCTGTTTATTGACACGTGCAGTGCACCATGCGAAGGCATAGCTTGGAGCCCTGCCTGCACCCGTCCGAGAGAGGGGATTGTGCTTATAATTCTGTATGATCGTACATTTTGTGTTTAATGGTCACCAAGTGTATTTGTAAGTAAGAGTGAATGAGAAAAATGTAGGCTAGACACAGCACCTAAATTTAAAGAAAATAGAGCACTGAAAAAATACTTTGTATGTGCCTCTACTTAGAAAAATGAGGCATATGATCACGTATGCAGTATAACTTTAACTACAAAAAATGAAAGTAAGTTGTTAAAAAACTGATATAGATTTTAAGTATACCTCCTTAATGGTATTTTTCTTGCTTCTTATGCTCTACAGTTTTGGGCATAATGAATAAGCATGCATTATTTTTATAACAAGCTAACGGTGAAAATCTAAGAGGTCCAGGGGATTTAGCTCAGTGGTTCCGTTGCCCGCCTCTCAAGAGCAAGAGCCTGAGTTTGATTCCCAGTACCAAAAAAAAAAAAAAAAAAAAAGAGAGAAAAGAAAACCTAAGCAAAGCATAGTGATTCCCATTTGCCTTCTATAACAAATCATTCAGATCAGACTTCTGTCATTATTATGCTCTTAGTGTTTCAGTGTAGCGAAAGGAAGAATTTAAAGGAAGAGGCAGATTGAATAATGGAAAATAGAACAAAGAATATGTGAATAGGAGGTGCAGATTTAAGACTTATTCTTTGAATCTTCACTACTGAAATTCTTAGGGAGGGTTCCTAATGTTTATGCTGAAATAGTTCTTCTTGAAAAGAATGATCAATGGAATGATTTTGAATATTTAGCTTAAGGCAGGTGAATACTTAAGAAAAAAACCTATAAACTCTCAACAGCATTTAAAAAAATATATTAAATTACTTATATTTCTAAAGCAGGTTTACAGTCGTTAGAGAAACGTAAAGCAAAAATAGCAAATGATTGGGACGCTGAGGCAGGAGGATCGCTGTGAGTTCAAGACCAGCCTGGGCTACAGAGTGAGTTCCAGGTCAGTCTCAACTACTTAGTGAGACCCTGTCTCAAAAAACAAAACAAAACAAAAAAGAAATTGTTTCATTATATTGTCTGTTGAGTAGAAGTTAAAAAGTAAGGTCACCTAGACCACATACAAATATAATTGTCTATTTCTATATAAATATAATTGTCCCATTTCATTTGCTTCACAATACGTAGTAATAATTTGTCTGTATTGATAAATATATTTATGTAACTTTAATTCTTCTATAATATTGAAAACATAATATAATATTGAAAATATAATATAAATAATGCTGTATAGCAGTCATCAAATGTTACATAACCAATCTCTGTTGATCACACTAGTTACATTGAGGTGTTTTTGTTTTTTTGGTACCGGGGATTGAACTCGGGTCTTTGCACTTGCAAGGCAGGCCACCGAACCACTGAGCTAAGTCGCCGGCCCTACATTAAGTTTTTTATATTACACTACAATAAAATTTCTTGGTACTAAATCTCTGCACATAGGTGAAATGTCTGTCAAAGTATTCCTATTTTTATTATTTCTGATAAACTAGGCTCTCTCTTGGAGAAGCTATAATAAGTTAGAGTCTTACCTCTAACATAGACAAGTACAGTAGCCACCTTTTATCTATGATTTTTCTTTCTGTGGTTTCACTTTCCCCGCATCAATTGGGGTCCAAAAATATTAAATAGAACATTCCAGAAATAAAATCATCTCAACTTTTAAGTAGCATACCATTCAGAGCAGCAGGATGAAAGTTGACCCAGGTTACACCTACCTCGGGCGTGAATCATTTCTCAGTCCAGTGTGTCCATGTTATATATGCTACTCACATGTTAGTGCCCCAACAGTAATCTTGGTTATCAGATCAACTGTCACATTATTGCAATATTTTTTGCCCAAGTTACTTAGTCCTTATATAGTAACTCAATGCTGTCAAAATGTCTACATAATTCACTCTATCTCATCATGTTGTCTACCTCATGTCATACACAATAACAGTATGTACAGTAAACAAGATACTTTGAGAGGAAGAGACCACATTCACATAACTTATATTATAGTACATTATTGTAATTTTGAATTTTATTAAGAATTATTGCTTTTAATCTCTTACTGTGCCTAGCATATAAATTACAATTCAGATATGTATATAGAAGGAAAAATATTATACAAAAGGTTCATCACTATTCACTAGGAGTCTTGGAATGGACTGTGTGCCTAAAAGGAAACTCTTGTATTTACTTCTATTCATTCTGAACATTAAATATTAATTTCTTCTTGAAAACGGTCTACTTAACTAACCAAAAATTGAAAAAACAATTTTAATATCACATGAAACACAATATATTCTTGCATATTATTTTTGCATAGTTTCTCTTGAAAATAACAAATTTGTAAAAAAAATAAAAGCAGCTCTTTTTAGATTCTGGCACCACTTGTCTCCTAACTGTTTGTGGGCATTTTTGTACCGGCAAATCACTGGAAGTGGAATGTGAAGGCAATTAAGACAAAGTCCCTGCTCTCAAAAGTTCATTCTACCAGTGAATTGATCAGAATGTTGACCTCAGTTTCCTGGCAACGAATGACTGCTTCGTAGAGGACTGTGAGACCAGGTTCAGGGTCATTGCAGAGGGGTGACTATCAGCGGTGTTTGCCCTGGGAGGAATAGGGGGCACCCCTTCTTTATTTTCCTTTTTGCTTATGTTTATTTTTAAAAACTTGTTCACCTTGCCTTACTGAGATAATTCAAAAGACTCTAGAAAGCCATTGATATAAGGTGAATATAGTTACTATTTGATCAGCATTTATGAAACCTAGTGTTTCAGAGTTATCTTTGTCAAAAATAATATGCCAGTTTTCTAGTTTTGTCTCTTTTGAGTGTTTTTTGGTAATATGTTCTGAACCTTTGAATCACTGCATAACATGGTATTTTTCTATCGGGGATGCTCCAGAATGAAGCAATAGGGGAAAATTGTATACCGTGTTTTGTGGTTTGCTTATTTCTTTGTTTTGCTAATCCTATTTTAGTGTACTGTGCTACCAAAGCGAGCACTGTTTTGTTAATCCTAAATGTGACTGCGCTCCTTCTGTCCTCTCATCTGCAATGATTAGTCTTTAGGTTGGCTCTCCTTTAATGTTGTGACATTTAATCCCTTGTCAAAGCCCTTTCTGACTACCTTCCAGTAGTTTAACTCAGCACCTTGTAATTAGAAAGTGCTTATTGCTGGGTTTCCAATGCAGTTAACAAGAGGACATTGCTTACATTAAATCGAGTGAAAAACGTTTCTCCGCTTTGTTGGCATTGCCTTTTGAACATTTTGAGATTGAGGTTGGCTAAAATATTCAGAAATCTACTACTCTAGTGGGATTATAACCTTTAAAATACATTTTTATGAAAGGGATGGAGCCACCTGTCATTACATTGTCTGCT